ATTCTCAATTTGACAACAGACTACAAGCATTAAGAAATAATTTGACAATAAACAAATAGTATGCATGCGTGTGTGTGTCAAATACATGGTAGTGTGTGTAATGTTTTTTATTTATTGATTTAAAGTATTTTTATGTAAAATAAAATAAAAAATTAACATTCTGCACCCTTCTCTATAAGTGTGAGAAATATTATACTCCTCCGTCCGCAGAATTTACGTAAAAAGGGGTACAAAGTTTTTGCTTCACGTATTAAAGAAAAACCTTTATTAAATAATAACTCTTTAGTTTTAAAAAGAATTTTTCTTCAGTGTCATTCAGTGTCGTGTAGTGAAAAGTCTGTCATTGAGTATAAAGAAAGTATTTAACATATGAATACTGCTTAAAATATTAATTTTAAAAGAGATTAAGTACTTTAAATGTTGTTTTCTTATTATATACCTAACAGAAAACGCAATTAAGTATTTTATTGTATATTCATTCTGAAGTACTACTCCATATCATTATAAATTTACGCAAAAATTAAATTTCGTTAGCGGCATTCAGGCATAATTTTTTTTCCCTACCTATGCTGATAGCCTTGAGAGGCTATTTCAGCTTCACCCTAACGTGTAGGTGAGCTCACGGGGCTCAAACCGGAATGATGCTAATACTGACCCTAGCAAGACCATTATGCAAAAATTTAAACGATTTATAAAAATAGATGTGTAAGCTTTGGGACTGTAAGACTGTACGCAAAAATTAAGTAAAAACTCCCGATCCATAGCCCTTAAAAAACATAAAAATAAATAAATAAATTCAAACGTAATATTAAGAGCCATGTCCACGACATGGGAAAAAAATTGTGAAGACAAAATTGGAGGTTTTAGCTGGTTGGAGTCCAGCGCTGCCCGAGCCCGGGTAGTGCTGGGTGTCCATGATGGGTTTTCCCTCCTGATTTACCTGTAAATTAAAAAAAAAAAACTGACCCTAGCAAGAGCAATGCTTCGCAGAATCTACCACCGGATCGAAAACGCGACCCACTGAGAAGATCCGGCGAGAAACTCAGTGGGCTGTGTCTGTCGGTTAATTCACTCGTCGAGCCCTTCGTCGCAAGCTACGGGTTCGACGAGGACGGTGACCGGTGCTTGTGGTACCTAAAAGCACCGTTAATCGATCGGGAGGATCCGTAATGACGTGTTTAGGGCGTGACGAAATAGGGCATCATATTTGCGTTCTATGATATCTATCGCGACACCTACTTCATATAGTAATCAATTGTTACACGAATTAATATCGATAACAATCAATCGTGATAAACGGATAATAAGTCAATAAGTCTGATTTAATGTTTCGCTACCGATTCAAATATTATTCATACCGAAGCATTTATCTTTGTAATTAAAGGTCCATTTTAGTTGGTATTAGACATCAACCGTCCGATGTTTGTAATTGAACTTCAAAAAAAAAAAAATTTTAGTTTACTTCGTTCAAAAACATTTGAAGATTTTCTTTCTCTGTCCAAATCTTACACTTTAACTGGCTCTATTGTAAAATTTGCAAAAATGCTGCCCAAACCAAACAGCCTCATGTTCACCCCACACATAAATAGATATAGATATTTACGATCACTTTTTTTATCGACTGTACTACCTACTTTTTTTTTGTGACCGCGAAGATCGTGTATGTGTTTGTGCTTCGCAGTTTTTATGAGCTCCCGGATTTCTCATGCGGATCTCGCACGTGCTCCGATGTCGTTAGGTGTGACGTCGACTGTCAGTTTTAGCCGGAACTCCGTAGTCTTTTTTCTTTCATTAATGCTTACATGGGTAAGGGGACCTGGCGTAAATGCCGCCCTCCACCTTGAGATACGAGTTCTAAGGTCTCAGTTTTTACAGCACAACGGCTGGCCCGCCCTTCGAACCGAAACGCATTACTGCTTCAAGGGCAGAAATAGGCAGGGCGGTGGTACCTACCCGCGCGGACTTACAAGACGTTCTGCCACCAGTAAAAATTCCGCACCACCAGAAGAATTTTCGATTTCTTAATATTCTCTCTCTCTCTCACACACACATTCAAACCCGCCCCGGGTAACTTCTACCGAGCAATATCAGCCGCTCGGTGGAAGATCGTATACCTCCACATACGTATTGGGGGAGGGGGGGAGGAAGAAGATCTATCTGTCCTGGTAGGTGTTAATTTCCTATCGAATGATCCGACTGGTTTCGCTACACCAAGCTAGATGACGCTCTCCACGACGCCAAGAACTGGCGATGAAGGAGGAGCATCAACAAAGATAAATTACTCTCTCATCGGGGGGAATCGCGAGCCCTCTGTAATGAGCAAGAAAAGCTGAGAACCAGCTCTCAATCGTATAAAGGCTGCCCCACCCTTCGAACCAGTATGAGCGGTTACTTGGCAGCAAATGGTAGCAGGACTGTGGCTCCCACCTCAATGCGTGATACACCAGTAATTACTCGAATTCTTAAGCTTTTATGGGTTTGATACGCACAGCAAGAGAGATCGCTGCTTCCTCGAAGCTCAAGAGGCAAGAATGATCACGTTTTGCCTTTACAAACGTAATTCTCGAATATCTGCGCTAAAGGCTAAAGACACTAGATTTAGATTACGCCTTTTTTGTGCTATTGGAAATTTAATGGATACCTCTTAGGAATGTTACCTTTTATTGGACGAAAACTACCGATGTATTTATCCTTTGTCCTTTTCTGTGCCTCTGACATCGGACCGGCGGATCAATCCTGAAAGAACTAAGAGTTTTCACAAGACTCTCCACCACATGGTTACGTAGGATTTTCGAGTTTTTCGGTCACGTTGCGAGGAAAAAGGGTGACAGTCTCGAAAGACTACTCATCACCGGCAGAGCAAAAGAGGGCTTGGGGGCGTAGTCCCATGCACTGATCGGATTAAATTAAGACGACATTATGGACTCCAGCATCAATGCCGCTATCCACTGCGCAGAGGACAGGAAAGAATGGAGAAACAAAGGTCAAACAAAACTGCTCCGTAAAGGTCACGACCCTCCGCACTGAGGAACGCGACGCACGGAGGAGAAAGAGGAGGAGGATACCTTTGACAACGTGCACGCAAAATTTCATGGTTATCGATTGACTGGTTGAGACGTGACAAACAAACAAACTCACTTTCGCATTGATATAATAATTTACCAAACGAGGTTGCCGCTTTAAAATACTGGCCGGTCATTTGAAACGTAATTAATGTGTGGCCGCCAATAAATTCTTAATGCAAATGAATTTTATTTTTAAAATTATGGAATCCTATTTTCTTAAATATGATCATTAGTTTATTGATTAATGTTTCTACATTATGTATCTTTTACATTTTTGTATTTTGACGTTTTTGCCTACGTTCGCCACTAAGTTCCATCTGCACACTGAAATCTGCGACTGAAGTCGTCGTGGCCTAAAGGATAAGACTTCCGGTGAATTCGTATGTAGCGACGCACAGGTGTTCGAATCCTGCAGGCGGGTACCAATTTTTCTGATGAAATACGTACTTTACAAAGATTGACTTCCACGGTGAAGCAATAACATCTTGTAAGAAAAATCAAACCCGCTAAATTATACTTTGCGTGATTACTGGTGGTAGGATGTCTTGTGAGTCCGCACGGGTAGGTACCACATCCCCTGCCTATTTCTGCCGTAAAGCAGTAATGCGTTTCGTTTTACTGCCACGTTAATTAATAAATACTAGAGGTCCCGCAGTAGTCGAAATTCGACTATAATTAATTGGAATTGTAAGTTTGTACACTGTTATGATTGTATTTTATACTTCTATAATCACAAATTTCGCCAAGACTACCCTATAAAAAATCAATTTGACCACAGACGTCAAGAACAAAAGTTTGACAATAAATAAATAGTATGCATGCGTGTGTGCGTCAAATACATGGTATGTAGTGTGTGTAATGTTTTCTTTATTGATTTAATGTATCTTTTATGCATTATTTAAAAAAAATATTAGCATTGTGCACTTCTTCTCTATATTCTCTATAAGTGTAGAAAATTTCATACTCCTCCGTCCGCGCAATTTTTTGTAAAAAGGGATACAAAGTTTTTGCTTCACGTATTAATATATAGATTGCAACTTACTCATTATAACTTAAATCGCCGCCACAAAAATATTTACACACACAATTAGGAATAACGATTTATTTGTTTACATCTCGCAACGCTTCGGCAGCTTCGAACGTGCTTTCCGTATTAACATAACAAGTTTTATTAAGTGCTTTCATAAAATCTAGACTTTTGATTGCATTGACCGATATCGCTAACTTGTCGAGTTTCGGCTTGTGAGAATAATTATGCTAGATTACAAGGGAGGAGGATAATAAATAGATAAATCGTGGGACTGGTTGTAGGACGTCTTGTGATTCCGCGCGCATCTTCATCTTGCCCTTATCCATTATCATGAATAACTCAAAGACCCATCCTAAGTCCCTGTACTGACAAGAGGACATGCTGCACCAACCCAACATAATAGAGAACAAGAGCATCAAGCTCTTGAATCATGAGAGAAAAACCCAATCTTCAATCAATTTTTACTGGTGGTAGGACGTCTTGTGAGTCCACGCGGGTAGGTATCACCACTCTGCCTATTTCTGCCGTGAAGGAGTAAAGCATTTCGGTTTGAACGGTGGGGCAGCCGTTGTACTGTAAAAACGGAGACCTTAGAACTCATATCTCGAGGTGGGTGGCGGCATTTACGTTGTAAATTTCTATGGGCTCCAGTAACCGCTTAACACCAGGTGGGCCGTGAGCTTGTCCACCCAACTAAGCAATAAAAATAAAAAGGAAGAAAAAAAATAGACATAACGTGCCACTTCGAGAAATCCCTAAAAATTTTGTGCTAATCACTTTTCCATTGTCCACAGATCGCCTGCATACGAAATCAATACCCCAAACTAACAACCTAGTCATCGTTCAACCAAAAACAAACAATGTACCACCACGACATTTAAAAGAACACACCGAACAATACCAAAATGAATGCCAATAAGAAAGCAATAGTTCTGTTAACATTAATCAACATTTTGCTGGTGAGAAGCGAAAACGATACGAGGAAAGATGACGTTAGTGATGGCATAGAACAAAAAGCCAATGACCAATCTTACGATGACGACTTCCTGGATTCGCCTGACGCCGGAGACGGTGATGCTGCTGGACTGACGGATTCCATCAACTACAGAAACGATACAGCGAACTATGAAGACCCAGTGGAAACTTCCACAGCGTCAGATTACGTAACGCAAGAATCTGACGTCATATACGAAGACTCTGAACTGTTTAATAGTACTTACGCTGATGAGAAGGTTTGTGTTCGAATCGTTTGTACAAATAAACAAGGAAGGCATCGAAGGGCGCTTGAAAAAGCTTCTAGAATTACACGTCACTATTATTTACGGGCCTTCATCAGACAAATCTGTCTACTTTCCCTCTAGTCTGCTGTTGAAACAGCCTCTCAAGCCTCTCAGCATAGGTAAGGAAAATAATACATCAAAGCCAACTGAATTTCTCGCCGGATCTTCTCAGTCCCGTTTCTGATCCGGTGGTAAATTCTGCGAAGCACTGCTCTTGCTAGAGCCAGTGTTAGTAACGTCCTCAGATTAGAGCCCCGTGAGTTCACCTACTAGTTCAGTGAATTTATTGTAGCCCCTCGAGGTTACTAGACTGGGTTGGCGAAAAAAAACATTAAATGGAATCATTTAACGTAATCTTCATTGACTTCAAAATGTCCGATTAACTTGAAAATTTGCACAGGTACCCGACAGTCCGACGAGAATGCAACCATTTTATTATTCTGACCCGACAACCTAATCAGGATCACAAGGACAAACAAACGATTATGTTAATTAGACTTACTTTTTGTAGTGTCCTTTTTTAATATTATAAAAACACTAACAAAATTAAATAATAGACATCACAAATTTATAAGGGTTTTAATTTCATGCTAAATAGAAACAGTATTATTTTGAAACTAGCTGTACCCGTCCGCTTCGCTGGGCATTTAAAATTAACATTATTTCTCACCCCCACAAAGATTCTCATCATTAACGCCCCCACAACTGGTGTAGGGAGTACAACACTCATAAAAATATTAGCCTATCCATTAAGTACATGTTTTCTACATGGATACCAAGTTTCAAGTCAATCGGATGCATGGTTCAGTAGTTATAACGGAACATCCGTAAAAACCACTGTAGATTTATATATTAGTATAGATGAAGTAACTCTCTGGGTACATCATACAAATCTTAGACGACACTCGCTTAGTTGCAAAAGGCGGAGAGAATATACCGACTGACGACTTCACAAATAACGAGAATTGCATCTCCGAACTTTAAAACTACTTAATCTTCAACACTTAGGATTAATCCGCCAAATTGAGCCAAAGCTTTTACTTCTAATTCTTTAAAGTAATGAGATTCAATTATATAGAAGTCGAAGTAGATCGAAATCGTCGTGGCCTAAAGGATAAGACGTCCGGTGCATTCGTATGTAGCGATGCAGCGGTGTTCGAATTCCGCTGGTGGGTACCAATTTTTCTAATGAAATACGTACTTCACAAATTTTCACGATTGACTTCCACGCTGCTGGAATAACATCGTGTAATAAAAATCAAACCCGCAAAATTATAATTTGCGTAATTACTGGTGGTAGGACGTCTTGTGAGTCCGCACGGGAAGGTCCCATCACCCTACCTATTTCTGCCGTGAAACAGTAATGCATTTCGGTTTGAAGGGCGGGGCAGCCGTTGTAACTATACTGAGACCTTACAACTCATATCTCAAGGTGGGTGGGGACAATCACATTGTAGATGTCTATGGGCTCCAATAACCCAATGGGCTGTGAGCTCGTCCGCCCATCTAAGCAATAAAAAAAAAAGATTACAAGAAATCGCAAAGGACAGATTACAAGAAAGTACCAAACTCGTCTCACGTGCGATTAAAATGGACAGCATTAGAGGTACTACTAGACTTAAAATTAATAAAGCTAGCCAAACAACAAATTTCGTGCAAAGAACAACACCCAGAATCGTCTGTAAGAAATGTTTACAATGTTACAATTTCAATGCGGGGTGTGCTTTTAAAGAAAACATTAATTTGAATAATCAATCGGTTACGTGACATGACAATGACAATAACTCTTGTTTTTTTTTTTAGTATTTTGGAACGAAGTTCCTTATCGCGCGTTGTGAAAGGGGGCTAGACGGAAAAAATTCTTACGAAAAGTTGTCACGACACTTTTTAGATCCGTCACTCTGACCAATCAACGCGTGTAGGCGCTTATCGCGTGACATTGCTCGTATCCGATTGGTCCGCGTAATGAGTAGTTTCACGAGATAGCGTTTCAACAATAGTAATTTAGTTCATAGTATTGTTTTTTTCTTCTTCATAATGCCGTAATTTATTATTACAACTTAAAAAAAAAATTACAATTCCTTCACTAATTAAGAAAGGAACTTCGTTCCATCCGGGTGTCCCTTGACACCTCTGAAGTTTTTTTGTTGTTTGTCCGAGAGATACTGACCAGATTCAGGGCAAAACTTGTAGGCAAGAAGCTGGAGAGTTAAGAAATTAGCGTTTCCAGACCATTTCTCCTATGTAGCAGCTCCGATATTCCTATCTGCTTATCCTATTAGCGCTATTTACCTTCTGCGAAAGAGATTTGAGAGTTTGGAGAGTTCCTTCACATTACAGGGAACTATTATAATTTGAAATATCTTTCCAACGAACATGTGTACTATATAATTCTTAATACCCATAGACACAACCCACTGAGTTTCTTGCCGGATCTTCTCAGTGGGTTGCGATTCCGATCCGGTTGTAGATTCTGTGAAGTACTGTTCTTGCTAGGGCTAATGTAAGCAAATTCTGTCAGGTCGAGCCCGTGAGCTCACCTACCCGTCCGGGAGGAAGCTGAATTGGGCTACCAGCGAATAGGCAGGCAAAAAAAGAAGAAAATTCTAAATAAACTGACATGAAATCAATTCCACTATAACAGTTTTATGTTCTCCGACAAATTATGTTATGAATCACTCTTAATATTTACGATGCATTAACAAACATTACTCTGGACTATCACCTTTTTTTTATACCTTTGTAATCAGACGAGCATACGGCCCACCTGATGGTGAGTGGTTACTGTCGCCCATGGACTTCAGCAATGCCAGGGGCAGAGCCAAGCCAATGCCTACCGCATAATACTCTCCACAAGCCTCATTTGAAGAAGGACATGTCATAGCGCTCGGGAAACACCGTGGAGGGGAGCTCATTCCATAGCCATCTACCAGTTCTCCTAATCAATTACATGTGTGAAGTTGCTGTGGTCAGACGACAGTCGATTATGGGTGCTCAGTGAAATACCCTGCTGCAAGACCTAGCACCTAGATAATTAGCAGAGTCTATATGCCTATTTCAGATGGAGACAACCTCGCTGGCTACCACCAGAGCGATGGAGGACTACGACTACGTTTCTTCTAAAGCACCAGAATCGGATGGAGATCAGGAGGTAGACGGACAGGGGAATCCAAAAACCGATGGCTGTAAGTTTAATGGAGTCGGTAAGGTGTTGAACACATAATGACGAAATTTTCGCAGCTAAATTTCGATATAACATCTGATTTACATGATTTAAACTTGTAAATTTATGCTTTTGTAACAATGAACGACAAATGTATTGATCTTCCAACGATCAGGTGTCATTGCTCGGTAAACTAACTCGAATATTTTTATTCTAAACTTGTATATTTTTTTCATTGTCGTATCATTCAAAGATGTCATCAGTACTATCAACTGTCTTCGTTTTCGGAAGCGGTCTCCTAACACCCAATATAAAACTATACCATACTATTTTTTTGTTTGTTTATAATTGACAAACAATTACCAGGCGCACATAAATCTAAACAACAGCTGTACCGCTGTGTTATTTATATAAACGAAAAGGATTTGTCACATTACCGAGAATCGGTTCAATAATACCAGGAACGCATTATACCATACAACTCTTTCCCGAACAGAGTATAATTCATAGTCCAGTTAAAAGTCTGAAAGACATGCCGCTCTATTGACAAACTAAGCTGTCTTTGATTGAAAACAAAAAAAAAGCTTATACTAATATATAAATCTACAGTGGTTTTTACGGATGTTCCGATATAACTACTGAACCGTGCATCCGATTGACTTGATACTTGGTATCCATGTAGAAAATACATGTATTTAATGGATAGGCTAATATTTATATGAGTGTTGGACTCTGTACACCAGTTGCGGGGGCGTTAATGATGAGAGTCTTTGTGGGGATGAGAAATAATAATGTTAATTTAAATGCCCAGCGAAGCGGACGGGTACAGCTAGTTAACGTATAAATCTAATCAAAAGGTACCAGGGCAACATAAGCATTTAGAACTCATCCACAGCTGAACAGACCTTGGCTGAGGGGAGACAATTCAATGGCCCTCCCCAGCCGGTTCACAAAAACAAAAGTTCGACTTTGAGAAGTTGGCTCGAAGACTCGTGGCTGCGGCAGCCAGTAGCTGTCCTGGTGCCGTTGAGGCCTATGGCGTTGAGCAGGGCGCTGGCCGTGTGGAACGACCTCATCGCGGAGGGCCTCAACGTGTCGGACATTGTTATTGTTGGATACGATTCAAACGGTAAGTGCGTAAATTGTGTGATTAAAACCCCTTTTTTTACTGCTTAAATGGGTGGACGAGCTCACGGCCCACCTGGTGTTAAGTGGTTACCGGAGCCCATAGATACCTACGACGTAAATGCTGCCACCCAACTCGAGACACGAGTTCTTTGGTCTTTGGTAATAATAGGAGCAGTGCAGTTTACTAGATTAAGGAGGCACAGTATACCTACCTTACAGAATCTATATATTAATACGTGAAGCAAAAACTTTGTATCCCTTTTTACGAAAATTGCGCGGACAAAGGAGTATGAAATTTTCCACACTTATAGAGAATATAGAGAAGAAGTGCACAATGCTAATATTTTTTTAAAATAATGCATAAAAGATACATTAAATCAATAAAGAAAACATTACACACACTACATACCATGTGTTTGACGCACACACGCATGCATACTATTTATTGTCAAACTTTTGTTATTGACGTCTGTGGTCAAATTGAGAATAGATTAAATATTGTTTGTCTATATTAATATTTTTTATAGTGTAGCCTTGGCGAAATTTGTGATTATAGAAGTATAAAATACCATCATAATAGTGTACAAACTTACAATTCCAATTAATTATAGTCGAATTTCGACTACTGCGGGACCTCTAGTAGAAATTAAATCTTACAATAAAAGATGAATATGTCACTGGACATCTGATTTTGTTTATATCACTATAAAGATTAAAATCAGCCAAAGGAATAGCTGTTAACTGTAACAGATCGCTACGATACATTAAAACAAAAGAGAAAAAATGTTATTATGGGTAAGCGTGTTTGTTTGTCATTGCTTCAAGTCAAAACGAAGCAACGAATTGAGATGGGTTTTTTTTATTAATAGCTTTAAGTAAATGAAATAGGCTACTTTTAATACAAAAAAAAACATATTATTCCCGCGGGAAACCACACTGAAACCTTGACCGCGCGGGCAAGACCGCTGGTAACTAATAACTAATATTATATATAGATCAATAATTCCCTTCATTATCATTAGATACTCGGAAACGTTTTTAATTGACTTCAAACACAATGGAAACATAGTTTTTGTGTTGCCCGCGGACACAGCCTGCCGGCAGTCGATTACGGTCAAGGTCATTATCCGTGTTAAGGACATGGTCAACTACGCCGATACGTTGATCTAATGGCCGCTAACGCAAACTCGAATATTCATCATCGACATATCAGGTACATTTCTGTTCGCCAAAGGGGCTATTCTAGCTACGCGCGGCCCGGTAAGTGAGCTCACGGGCTCGACCTGAGTGAGTTTGCTAACACTGGCCCTAGCAAGAACGGTACTTCGCTGTAGCTACCACCGGGTCGGAATTGCTGGTAGCTTAAAAGGCTATTCTAGCTACGTGGGGACTTGTAAGTAAGCTCACGGGCTCGACCTGAGAGAGTTTGCTAACACTGGCCCTAGAAAGAACGGTGCTTCGCTGTAGCTACTACCGGATCGGAATTGCTGGTAGCTTATAGGGTTATTCTAGCTACGCGCGGACCGGTAGGTGAGCTCACGGACTCGACCTGAGAGAGTTTGCTAACACCAGCCCCAGCAAGAGCGGTGCTTCGCTGAATCTACCATCGGATCGGAATTGCTGGTAAATTAAAGGGTTATTCTAGCTACGCGGGGACTGGTAGGTGAGCTCACCTGCTCAACCTAAGAGAATTGCTAACACTAGCCCTAGCAAGAGTAGCGCTTCGCTGAATCTACCACCGGAACGGAAACGCGACCCGCGTTCAGTTAAGCAATTAGTTATCCTTGTAATAAATAATCAAATTGAACTTCGCCACTCTTTGTCTCGGCATCTCCAGCCAGACAAAGCTACACGCGTCTGCTATCAACTTAATCGTACAAATAACGCAAAAAAACATCGGTGAAACAAGCACAACTTCTTAAGGTTAACAGTGGGCAGCGTCTTGGGTCTGCCTATCGTTGCATTGCTGAAGTTCATGGGCGACGGTAACCACTCACCATCAGGTGGGCCCTTTGTTCGTCCGCCTACAAGGGCAATTAAAAAAAAGGTTACTAGCAGTAGGTAGGAAAAATATCCTGCATTTCTCTATATTTTTTGTCACGAAAACATCCTACCAATCACATATCAAGGATAAAGTTTAATTCCACTTACATTCGTCACCTAGTTTATCAGTCCTCTGTCTCCCTTGGAATATCTCAACTTGGACTTACCTGAAAAAAAGGAAAGATAAGTTTTTATTTAAATGCAGCCAAAAATTTATATATATTTATTCGCTAGTTACATCGACATCCGTGCGTGGACCATATACAAACATCATCATCCGCATCGAAAACAATCACTGAATTGCAATTTGAATAGCAAATTTGCTCGGACATGCACAGATTAAAACCATTTTTTTTATTTTTTTTTAACACGACTTCATTTCCTTCATCGTTGAAGATTGAGTACAAATCAGATGTTTTTTAATTTCAAAAAAATGCGTTACCTGTTAGCGAGATTCGAACACAGGCACGGTCGCACCGCTCGATAAGAGCCCTGCACACGACCAGCCGTCTTATCTACTAGGCCACGACGCTTACCTCGTTTGCAGCCCAAAATCGCATACCGGTTTTGTTTGCTTCAAATTTAATCACGATCACACACGAATTCAGTACTTAGCCATTGATCATATGTGCGATTTAATTAGCGAACAGGGCTACACACGACAACAATCAACAAACAATGGATAATGTAGATTGATGCGCGCGTGACGCACTCCGTGACGTGAATACTAATCAGAAACGCATCGGTTGTGGTACAACAAAGAAGATCGTCTCGCGAAAGGGATTGACTTCTTCAACTGATTATTGCCTGAGGTTCGGGCGTACTGACAGCCCGTCCGGATAGGTAACAGCATCCCGTTCAATACGGCAGCTGAGCATTCTTGCGTTCCCAGGGCAAAGGATGAACCAGTACAGCACAAAATTTGGATGTCCTGTCTCAAGCTCTGAGTGCGACAGGATACAGGGTGTGCAAGTTATGCTATAGATATCCGATTATTTTCACCAAAAGTTCTGAGACGGAGGTGGCTTTTTGTCTTCTTCAACGGATGAACTAGCTCACGATCCACCTGCTGTTAAATGATTAACAAAGCCAATAGACATCACAGTCGTTTAGACCAATTATAATAATCGCGAATTATAATTATTTCATTACAAAAATCGGTACTCGTTTGCCGGATTTGAGCGCCGGCCCCTTGGCATCGCACGATCCGAATACACCGGGCGTCTTAACCATCGGGCCAAGAGCGTTTTAAGCGTGGACCGGGCGTCTTAACCATTAAACCACAAGCGTCTGAAGCGTAGGCATCAATTATCAAATAAATAAAGGATTAACACCGAAATTTTACGAACTACGACGCGTATAAAGCAATCTCGCAGAGGTAACAAATTAGCGTTAGTCCCGAAGCTAACTTTCATCGGCCCCCGAATCTGTCGGGACCCCAGTCGCGAAAGGGTCGGCAAATCCTGAAGCCACCACTAACCTCCTCACGTCCTAAAGAGATATCTATGTAGATTTGTAGATTTGGGCAACCCTACAATTCTAAACAGAAAACCATCGACGCTAGCCTCCAATTTCCTCGACCGAACCTCAAACCGATGAAGCCAAAGCCCCCGTCCCCTTGGCTACACGTATGCCAAACGTTGGACCAACGTTCGATCTTAAACATCTGAAATGACAATACACAGACACTTCTAGATTCGCACTCGCATCGACCTTGCCGAGAGAACGCAATAACTGCGTTATGTAAATGAATTTTCTGCTCCAATAACGAATGGCTGGCTGGTGTGGGCACATAGACGACGGCGACAAAGAAACGGAAAAAGAAAAAGAAAAAAAACAGCGATTAAAAAGAAAGTGGACACTTTGAGAACCGATTTCGTAATCAGGGCTGTTCGCTTTCGTCTCGATAATAACAGTTTCGCGAATAGAAATATGACGCCATATGAAGTGTTCGACCCATAAATTTTAAAATACGATCATTTTTTATCCTGTTAATGTACCGGACAAGATATCAGAGCGAAGTTACAAAAATGTTGCACAGTCATCGATCGTCGGTAGCCGATTGTGGATACTGCGAAGCACTGCTCTTGCTAGGGCCAGTGCCGGCAAATTCTCTCAGGTTGAGCCCGTGAGCTCACCCACCCGTCCGGGCGTAGCTGGAATAGTCCGTAAGGCTACCAGCGAATAGGTAGGGAAAAATAACGCACATATATAGGTCCATAGAATAGGTCCACGAACGTCCGGCTATTATTTGACATATCTTCATCTTGCCCTTATCCCTTATCATGACTTAAAGACCCATGCCAAATCCCTGCGCTGACAAGAGGACATGCTGCGCCAGCCTAACATAATATGGAACAAGAGCATGAAGAAAAAGAAGAATCGTGAGAGAAAAACCCAATCTTCAATCAACTTTTACTGGTGGTAGGACGTCTTGTGAGTCCGCACGGGTAGGTACCACCACCCTGCTTATTTCTGCCGTGAAGCATGCCTTTTGGTTTGAATGGTGGAGCAGTCGTTGTAAAACACTGAGACCTTAGAAATTACGTCTCGAGCTAGATGGCGGCATTTACGTCGTAGGTGTCTATGGGCTCCGGTGATCCTTAACACCAGGTGGGTCGTGAGCTCGTCCACCCATCCAAGTAATAAAAAACTCAACTCCGAACTGTCTTTTGTAATATCTGTCGACATTAGACCCATCTCTGGAGCCGTAAGCATTTCGATTTTCATTTACCGTATAAATTCTTGTTTTCTTACAGGAATAAGCTGGAGATCGAGACACAATCTTCACAGCTCGGCCTCGACAAAGGACCGCGAAGTATCTGAAGCACTATCCAAGCTCATGCTAAAATATCAGGTACGCGTTTTGAATCTAAATGAATGCCTATTGTTGGATAGTGTGTATTAACCTACTGAGGACGCGCGGAGTGTGGAAGAGAATGCGGACCATGTTTTGTTGTTTGTTTTATCGCTCAAATAAGTGACCCAACTCATGCTCCATCCCATGTTAAGTGGTTGACGAAGCAAAAAGACATCGCAACGTAAATGCCACCACCTTATTTGCGGCTATGCGCAGGAAATCTCAATTGTATAACCTATTTCGCAGCAGAAATAAGCAGGATGGTGGTGGAAAACTGCCGCCCATTCTCCGATAATACCTGTAGTCGCTTTTTAGAAGGCCATCGGGAAAAATGAGTCGATACTGTTCAAGACTACAAACAGCCGTTAGAAACTTCTCGCAGAATCTTCTCAGTGGGTCGCGATTTCGATAGATAGATTCAGAGAGACACTGCTCTTGCTAGGGCTAATGTTAGCAAGTTCTCTGAGACCAAGCTAAGGTCCCCCACCGAATGAAGCCAGAATACCTTTTCGAGACTACTGGCAGTTAGGCTGGATAAAAATATGTTGAATGTGTCAAGCGTCCGATCCTAGAGCTCTTTGACAAGCGAAAAAGCCTTGAGATGCCGTTGATTTCGTGGCAGTTCTAACGTGAGCTCTTATTTACGGCATCATCAATGCTAAAAATACAGCTTATCGTTCAAAACGTTACGTGACGATCGCATGCGATTTTGTTACTGATACCACGTGATATCGGAACAGAAATAATACATGTCTCGGTGCATTTTTACGTTACTTACGTACCCACGTACCAAGGTCGCGGATTTAAGTCTTTAGTCGGGTCTTTGTGGTGCGGGAAACGAGATTTTTACATTACCAACAAATGTTTGCAGCCTTTTGACTGCGTGACACGGAGAATTAACGCTTTAGATACGGTACGATTTCGATACAGACACCTGTTTATATCCTAAAAGATTTGTTATACATTAAGTTACATTCTCGAGAGTAAGGTCGAATGTTACTGGTAGGTAGCGTGGCGGTTTTAAGGCACGGTAAAGGCGCATCGATACGCAAAATTAAAACTTCAAGCGCGCGACCCAAGTGCGATTTTACGTTGCGACGTATCCTTCCATGACCTCTAGGGACCTATAAAACACACAGTACAAACATAAATTCATTTACGTGTTCTTTTTAAAACGCTTCTATTAATTCGCGTACGATCTTTCTTTGTGAGAGACATTTTGACAGACATTCGATTGACTTGATGAAATTCGCACGCGCATTAAGGATAATGACGATACAATAATCCTTACTAACTTCGATCAATAATACTACTAGATTCGCGATTAGCGCTTCAAAAGCGGCCCGAAAAATAAGACCACAAATAAATTTGTGGTCTTATTTCAAATTAGTATGGTCCAATCATAGCCAACACTAAGACGTCAAAACGCTGCAATGCGCGTTCAAAAACTGAGTAAAAAACCACCGTAACACCAAGGTTTTGGAAGGAATATCTTTTTTTGGTAAATTTATATTATTAAGTGTTTTTCATAAAATAATAAACACAATTATATTGTAAATAAAACACAATTTACGAATATTGTAATTGTTTGGCCAATGTTTGCAACAAGGCACCAACTATTGTAACAAACATCACCTATTCTTGGACAGGGAATGCATAGAGTAGTTTTGTTATTTTATAATGTTATTTTTGTTTGTAGATTTCCTAGTAGCCCCTTGTCGCTGTGCACAATGGATATATATTGTCGCGAAAGAAAGAGGAGAAGAAATATAGAACCCTTATAAAAATTCTAGAATTGTTCAATGGTGGTGGCAAATCAATGCAAAAAAGTATTAAAAAAACTTTATATGTATGTGTAAATATTTTAAGCGTATATGCTGAAAAGGATTTGTTTTCTGGGGGAAACGAACACAGCCATAAAATAAGCCTAAATTAAACTGATTATAGAAAAATTCATTGATATAAGATTACATTATATTTGTAAAAAAGAAACCGCTCATATAAAAATGACTTCTAAAAGACAGCTTTATAACAAACTGAATCTGTTTAAAGGTAATTAAACCTACATTATTGTTTTAATTACTTCTGTATAAAGAATACGTGGAAAACATGTTTCGTGTTTCCTTTCATATTTTTTTTACTTTATTCAATTTTATTTTTTATCACCTATTTGTTGTAATAGCGGCAATGTAAAATATTATCTACTACTTTTTTGAATCGGTCAAAAATAGTTGCGACCATACAAAACAAACCTAAAACAAATATGTATATTCTGCAACTCTATGTCTTTCAATACTTACTGTGTTCTGAGCATTGAAATGTAATACCAAGAACTACATCTAGTTCCACAATACAATAAGCACGAAATTTTAAACAAATATTTTTAACCTTATAAATTAGGCTTTAAGTATCATTTTAGAATAAATATTTTTGTACTGATGACTTTTTATGTTCAAGTGACATTTTAAATTTATTCCATAATATTCTTTTTCTGACGAAAGGACCTAAATACATATATTTTGCAATGGCAATTAAACTTTATGTTTAAGTATTAAGGTTTATAATAAACTGAAGTCGTTAACATTATTAAACTTTTTTCTAAGAAATGAAGATGTTTTCGTGTCTGCAAACGTGGCCACTGGAGCGTCTTATTTTTGTTCCTGATCCGTAATCTAGTACTATTATTGATCGAAGCTTACTAATATATAAATGTGAATGTAAGTTTGTTTGTTACGCTTTCACGCGAAAACTACTCAACCGATCATCATGAAACTTTGTACACATATTCTTGGAGGTATTAGAAGTAACATAGGATACTTTTTATTAGGAAAAAAAATATTTTTTTTTTTACGAAAAATTCAAAAATTATTTGTCAATTCGAATCGACCACCAGATCGGAAACGTGACCCACTGAGAAGATCTGGCGAGAAACTCAGTGGGCTGTGTCTGAGGGTTAATTTACTCGTCGAATCCTTCATCGCAAGCTGCGGGTTTGGCGGGGACGGTGACCTGTGCTTGAGGTACCTAAAAGCACTGTTAATGGATCGGGAGGATCCGTAACGAAATAGCTGCTTCAAGTGACCTAAGTATTATAATATATCGTATTTCAACGCACCAGGGTGTACACACGGACACAGCCAGCGATGGGACAATGAGGGCTTTGGCGTCAGCAGCGAAATTGGTACCTTATGACAGCGCCCTATTCGTCATTACCGATAAAGGAGCTGGCGACCCCCAGAGGTTGGCACTAGCGCTGAGGACGCTGGTCGACAAGAGACTCAAGGTATTATAATAACAATAATAATAATAATAACCGGTCACAGATCTCACATATGGCCAACTAGTCCCAAACTAGGATTCCCTCTACTGTGACGGTGTGAACCGCAAAACCGTATATATAAATATATACACAAAGAGCACATTTCATACAAATGATTAACCAGTAGTCTGGGACGTTGCCTACTGCACTACCGAATCAGTATCACTATGGAGCTTTCGTTTCAATGGTAATATGTTAGGCTGATATTGCCGTATAGGAAAAGGGAACTGGTACTAATGCAACTGTTACATTTTATCTCCACTATTAAAAGGCTCCCTTCTATAAAAACGCTGCAACCCGCCATTTTATGTCTATGAGTTCTAGTAATCGCTCAACACCCAGCGGTGCGCCTGCCGTTTACCCATTTACCCACCATAATTGGAACCGATCATTACGAGTATACTTATTGCCCATCAGGTCTACACAATATGGACCAATCCGGACATCCCGACAGCCGACGAGGCCAATGAGCTCCAAGAATTAAGGAACATATCACAGCATACCGAGGGCGATGTTTTGCCATACTCCACCCAGGTTATGGTGAGTAGTTCAAGTATGCCGAATACCTTAGCCGAGTCGGTTGTGGCTCGAATACCATGAATACACGGCGGTGTGCTTGTATCCAACGATGCGGGTCAATCCGGGATCTAATCCCAAGGCTGTATGTTAGAACAGCTGTTACACCTTTCATATTGCAACTCATTACTGATTCACGGCCGAAATGTGTAAAGTGGCGGTGCGCCCAATAACTTGTAAAATCCCAATGACCCGCGGGCGGGTACCAATTTTCCTGATGAAATACGTACTTGAGGAATGTTCACGATTGACTTCCACGGTGAAGGAATAACATCGTGCAATAAAAATCAAACCCGCAAAATTATAGTTTGCGTAATGTGAGTCCGCACGGGTAGGTACCACCACCCCACCTATTTCTGCCGTGAAGCAGCCGTTGTAACTATACTGAGGCCTTAGAACTCATATCTCAAGGTGGGTGACGGCATTTACGTTGTGGATATCTATGGGCTCCAGTAGCCACTTAACATCAGGTTGGCTGTGAGCCCGTCCACCCATATAAGCAATAAAAAAAACTCTGTACTCATAATTACTGCACTGGAATCAGTGTCGCTATTTGTGCCTGATGGATACATGCGTGCATGTGCGTGTGGAGGAGCGCGTCACCAGCGGCAGCTTCTTAGAACCACGCACGTACTCAGCACGCCACTAGCTCTCCGACACATCATGCTGTCTCGCTACTCAATGGCTTGCTAGCTTATGCTCCAGAAACGGATATATTCCATGATGGTTTGCAGCGATCTGTAGCTGTTTCTAGAAGTTACTTAAGCTTATATTATTAATACCTAACAAATATTTTGGTTATATAGGTTCATTTGTAAGAAGACCGAAATAAAAATGAATAAATAAATCTTTTAGTCGCCTTGTTTAATACAACCACGTCAAGGTATATTGCCATTTTCTAAGGTTATCGCGCATTTCAGTCACAAACGACGTCGCAAGCGTGTTTAATTTCAAAGTACCCTCGCAATTTTTTTTAGGACCTAGACGGAGCGGAAAATCTAGCCACGGAGGACGACTCGCCATCTTGGAACCGAGCGATCTTCAATCAAGGACGACAAGGAAGATTGATCAGCGAACTAGAAAAGTACAGATACGATGTAAAAGCCTTGAATATTCCTCATTCACGGTTTTAGATAAGAAGACGAAGCAGCGACTGGGCATGTAGGCATCGGTTTGGTTCTGCCCCTGGCCTTGCCGTAGTCCATAGGCGACGGTAACCACTCACCATCAGCTGGGCCGTATGCTCGTCTGCCTACAAGGGCAATATTAAAAAAAACGCATAGTTCTTCCATTGTGGGTGTTGCAAATAAGTAAACAATGCAACGTACTTGCCGTATCTTTTGTCGGAATTAGATCTAGATAAAAAAAAAGGTAGCTGGAAGAGATAGTTTTTATAACACTGCCCTACGGACCCTAAGCGCGGTGTGGGAAGGCCACCTACCAGATGGACCGACGACCTGGTGATATCGCTGGGTCACGTTGGATGCAAGTGGCAACGGACCGGCCGCACTGGACATCAGTTGGAGAGGCCTATGTTCAGCAGTGGACAGTAGACAGGCTGAGATGATAATGATGATGACGGACAATCACACTTGTCGCAATGCGCCGCATCGCGCAGCCAGCAATCAGCATACATATTTTAATTGCGTCCTTGTTTTTTATAATTCCATATACTTGCATCTCTTTCTTTTCACCCATCTCGCTCGCACTCGTACTCGCATTTCCATTCGCTCATCATCCAACAGACTTGATACAGCCCAATAAGTTTCTCGCCGGATCTTCTCAGTGGGTGGCGATTCCAATCCGGTGGTAGATTCAGCGAAACTTGCTAGATAGAGCTAAAGATAGCAAACTCTCTCAAGTTGAGCCCGTGAGCTCACCTGAACTTCAGAACGTAGCTGGAATAGCCCCCTAGGTTATCAGGGAATAGGTAGGTATGGAAAAGATGTGACCAGATAACCTTCGACTTTCGGCAACCAACAAAATACGTTTCGTCTCTTTCTTGCGCGAGCAAAGCGAGATGGAGGCATCTTTTCATCAATCAGGATTGCTTATTAAGCGACAGAAAGAGAAAGTCGGTATGTACCGCAAGTAATATATATTTGTTCACAGACCCTCCTCGTGCGGCGGGGAGGGGGTGAAGCTATATCGCTTGGATTAACAGTTGAAAACGGAGTAACAGCCCTGAGGGTACTCATAGAGGGAGCTGTGGAACATGCCGTACTCTACCCTCCAAACGATGGTAAGCTAACGTTTTCTCTCTCTCTCTCTCTCTCTCTCCTTCATTTCCTTATCCCACTTTAGGGCAGAGTCGGGTGAGGATAAGATGATATGCGAGATGGTAAGTGGTTAACCAGTGCCCATAGATATCAGCAACGTCAATTTCGCCACTCACATTGGAACATGAGCTCTGAGTCTCAGTTTTACAGTACAATGGCTACCCTACTGTTCAATCCGAAACACATTACTGCTTCACGACAGAAATGGGCAGGGCGGCGGTACCTACCCGCGCGGGTGTCACTAGATACCCTACCACAACTTTCACAACCCCGTAACTTAGCCTGGAAGATTTTTTGACCACGTAAGACTTAACATCTTTCCACCCCCCCAACAGCGCCGCAAATAGACTTGTACGACACGGATTCTGTGTCCTCATTTTCGGCGGAATCGAGGACCGCAAGCCTGTCGCCGAGAGACGTCTACCTGATACTGCCGGGCGCCAATACTGACGTAGACGCGTAAGTTACGTTCTCCCACTTGTTAAGCCACCCGAGCACTTAGATCAGACAACCCCAATGCAGCTACCCCCAATCATAGTTTACTAGTAGAATACTCAGAGAATAAGTCTCCTTACTAAGCTCACGACACAAGCAGACCTTCTTAATGGCTCCGCTGGTCCAAAAACCCTCGAGAGGGGTACATCCAGAGAGACACGGTGTGCCTATCTCACGACCCAAGACCGGCAAGCAAGAAGTGTCGATTTGTGGGTACTCTTGTCTCCAAATAAGCTGGAAGACAAGAACCTTGATAGAAAAAAGAATCTATAAGAGCATAGCGTTGTATATTTCCTCGAAGCGACTGAAGAACAACAGTTGTTCTGATCTAAGAACGGAATCTCCTTTCTAGACTATCAGTTCTACCGGCCAATCCTGATCCGGAATCACAGCCGGGAATGATGGGGAAGTGGCACTTGAGCGTCCGCTGCGACACCTGCGACTACAGGCTCTGCGTCATGGCCAGGGCCCAGATCCACCTGGACGTAGGCACCGACGGTGCAGGTAAGACGATACCAGCAGACGAGCAACCCCCAACCTATTTAACCAACTGTGGTCCATGGACATCACAAAACCGAAGTCCGTGGATCTGACATTATCGTTGAGTCTAAAGTAGACGTGAAACGCCTAACCTATTTAACAAATTGTGGTCCATGGACATCACAAAGTCAAAATCTCCATTGACTTCCGATACTAACAAACAAATAGCTGTATGAGTTTTTTTTTTATTGTGTTATTTTTTCCAAATAATAAACTTTAAATGGCTCATGTGTAAAGTTGCAAAAATGTCTCTTTAAACCAAATACTTAGGCTTACACCCCTCGATATTCTTGCAACAAAAAAAACCGCTTCGCATGCTCTGGCTCTATTTTTCATCTACAATAAATTTGTCTATCTTATTTTTTTTCCATCAAATTTCATACCAACTTTCAACTTTTTTATAAACATAATGAGTTATGTATTTTTGAAATAGTTTAATGACTCTCGTATATGCGAGTTGGGTTTTTCAAGTTAAGAAAATTCCACTTTCTTCCGTCGACATAATGTACAAAAATATATATAGGACAAGTCAATAATAATAGCGCGTTGGCGAAGAGCGCTTCGGTTCATTGACCTTTTCGAGGTGAGAATCGGACGGAAAACGAAAAAACAAAAAAACTATCCGAACCGCTCAAGCGCTTTCGTCCGAGAACAAATTATTACATTTGTTTAAAATCCGAGAAATTATTACATACATCATCGTCACAGCGTGACGCGCTGATTCCCACCAAAAACGAACAGATTCGCGCATTAATTACGTAAAAAGAATAAAATTCGAAATTCAAACACAAACAAAACACAAAAAATATAAGCATACTTAAGTAAAACCAATATCACAATAAAATAAAATCAAACCGAGAAAAAAAAAACAAATCACAGAATTACAAAACTGCCAACCTAACAAAAATCAAAAGCAAAACATCACATCTTTATAACATTGGTATCGTGGCAACTATATCACAATATTAATACTAATAATAATAATAAACACACTAACCTTAGTGAAGTTACGGTTACATTCCAACGCCGAGATTCCCGAAAAAATGGCTTCGCACCTTTTCTGGGTCAAGGTCGGTATTCGCTTTTTAAATTTAACACGAAAACGTTCTAGTGTCGTCGGTCGCATTCGCTAAATTCGGTATTAGGGCTTCGTACGCAATAAACTTTTTCGTAGTTAAAGAGTTCGACGAGCGAACTAATCCACAGACACAGCCCAGTGAGTGTCTCGTCGGATCTTCTCAGTGAGTCGTAATTTCGATCCGGTGGTAGATTCACCGAAGCACTGCTCTTTCAAAGGCCAGTGTTTGCAAATTCTCTCAGGTCGAGTCCGTGAGTACACCTACCAGTCCGGGCGTAACTGGAATTGTCCTTTATACTAGCAGCGAATGGGTAGGGGAAATAAAGGCGATGCTTTAATTTAATACGTATTAATTTTAATGTTTAAATTTTTCAATCAAAAATTCCATCACCATTACGCTAGATACGCTCCATGTTGTGTGTTATTATTTTATAGTTATTGACAATCTATGATCTCACGACGTTGATATTCCGTTGGTACTAAAGTCCGCCCCGTCCTCATTCAAAGCCGATACCGAAACCCTGGCACCGCTATCCAAGCTCTCAATACCTGGCGAGCCGTGAATCTCGAAGCCGAACCGAATCACTAACCGAATACCGAAATCGAATTAACATTCCCAACACTACTAAATCAAGAGAGACGACGACAGGTTTTAAATGTCGAACGACTCGTTCGAAGTTCGAAGCTCGCGTTTTTTTTTTCATCGCACGGACTTAAATGTGTAACGCGTCTTTTGTGTATCGTTAAAATTTCTTGATTTAATTTATCGAAGGAATCGATTTTTATTTAGTGAATCGATTGTCATCATCATTCGGCACGTGTTCAAAAATGTTTTCTAATGCTAATTACATTGGTGATCATAATAAGTATGTGTATTTTAAGTCTTATACCCTACCGCGCCATGCTTAGCGTATTATTCATTTCAGGCAAAACATAAGACACTTTAATCCCCAAAAAAAATTGAAAAGGAGGAACACGAGAATCCAATTCACGTTCGCATTTCTCGTTATTTTTTTCATATTCTTTTTTTCAATAAAACAAATTTTATATTTTCGAACGCCCAAGCAAATGCTTTAATAAAAGTACAATTTTCACGCAAATCTCGCGCCCTTGACGCGATCGATTCTATAAATTTCAAAATATCGGAAGGAAGCAAAAAGGCTGTGAATACAGTTGCGTTTCAAATTTAACAAAAAAAAAACAAAAAGAACTTTTTTACGACCATGCCACGATCAAGGTCGCCCGTGTTATAGAGCCACTTTAACGTTTAAGTCGTATTAATGAGACGACGATTATTCGCTGTCAAAATGTTTTTATTAATATTATTAAGGTAACGACCTCCGCGATTTCTTTATAGAGCCCCTGCACATTCTGAGCGAACAAATGAAAAATTATTTTTTTTTTTTTGTAGTCTCTCTAGTCTCTTTCTGGGTCATGTACATTCGTGGTGTGTCTTGCATAATGTATGATCGAATTTTAATAAAATTCAAGAGACTGCTGGCTCTTTCATAACTAAAACATTATTTATTTCTTTTTATATTCCATCAGACGCTGTCAAGTATAAACACATTGTCGCGGAACCTCGATCTTGAACCGACGACCTTTGGAACGCGCTTACTACGATGATAACGACGAATATTAAAACAATCTTTCAATTCCGCATTAATAATGTTTATACGTTGCATTCAGCGCTAAAGACTTACATCCGAAATACTGCAACCGTTTGATTGGGGAGAACGAAAAAAAAAAACTATATAAACAAACCACGAAGCGTCATATTTAAAAATCGAACTCGCAAATATTACCGCCTTTTTGAGCCAACGACGCGACGCAGCGGGTTCCGGAAGAGCTAATTCGAAATTGGAAAGAAGTTTTAATTTTCGTGTCTCTCATAGATATTTTACTTTTTACGACTAGGTTTTTTTTGTTTTTTTTTTTTTCCGTTCATTTCGACAGCAAAGACATCCGAAACACATTATACACGTACTATACGTACATGTGTTAGTAATTTTATTCGATTTTTAACTAGATTTTTTTTAATAATCACATTCGAACCCCTTCGAGGAAAAACACAACTTCACTTTGTACCACTAAACACGAGATGCGTAATCAACCGAGCCTTGGACACAACTAAACATTACTTATCAATTGCAAATGTCAATAAATAATATAATTACGCCTTGATGTTTAAAATACGATCATGTAATAATCTAATCTTAATTAAAAAATAATGCAGATTAGAAATAGAACAAAGATGTGTGTATATCTATATGTCAAACGCTTTTTTTTTTCTTCAACGATAAAACTCAAGGCAATCATAGATGATTTTGATGATTGCTGTACAAAAATGACATGTACCGTCATAATTTTAAGACTGTATCTTATAAAATATAAAAAAACGTGACAAAGGGTATGATGCATTAAAACAAACGTATTAGAAAGAAAACAAAACTGAATTTGCATTACATTGCGTAGTAATGAAGTTCAAATTACGCGCGCGGTCAAAGATCGAGGGTGAAATCTGTATTTGTATTTCATTGCGGGTTCACGAAATAGCCAACTAACAACGCCAAACGCTTAGCTCGACGAATAAACATTGCATTACGTATGACGTCAGCGTTTTTCTTTCCCGGTTCCGGCACAGGGAAACGGTACTTTTGGCCACATACAACATCAACTATTTTAAATAGGCAAAGACATCCGTTACTTGGACGACTACTTAATAATTACAGTTATTTGAAATCTATGAGAGCGAAATGGAAGTTCAAATTTTAATAAAAATAATAATAACGGGCCGAAATTTAAAATAATCTATTACTTTTTTGTATCCCGAAGCTTCTGATCGGAATTTTAGAACTAAGTATAGTTAGTATAAATGAATCGATGGTGCAGTAGTTAGCGCCCCGACTGTCGCGCCGTAGGTCGTGGGTTCGATTCCCACACCGGGCAGACATTCGTTTGATAAACAAGTTTGTTTTCTCTACGTCTCTGGGTGTTTTTTATTTTTAAGCTATTGCATAGCTTCTATCGCGGGCCTTGAGCGCGGCGACTGAATCAAGAAATTCCGTAACGAAAATAACCTGACACCCCCACTACGCCTACTATGTAGCTTGCGTTCAACACATTCACACGTTGTGCTGGTGTAGTGTTCGTGAATAAGCGCGCGGCGTGACGTCGCACTGCACGAGCATCATGAAAAGTCTGCCCATCTCTCTCTCACGCGGTCTAGCTTATGAGTGTGAAGGGGACAGTTAATGTTTTGCTTTTGTTAATGTTTATAAATATAGCGTGGTCTTATTTTTATTATTGTTTTAATATTAAATTATTATTGTCCAATTATAATTGCATAAGTTGATAAAAAATGCTATGCAATAGCTTTACCGCGGCAGTCGCCGAGTGCCACATGTCGTTTTTTATTGTTTAGATGGGTGGACGAGCTTACAGCCCACCTCATGTTAAATGGTTACGGAGCCCATAGACATCTACAATGTAAATGCCGGCGCCCACCTTGAGGTATTAGTTCTAAGGTCTCCGCTTTTCCAATACAACAACCGCCCCGCCTATCAAACCGAAACGCATTACTGCTTCAGGGCAGAAACAGGCAGGGCGGTGGTACCTACCCGCGCGGACTCACAAGACGTAATCCTGCCACCACCACCCCCCCCACTTACCTCGAGATATGAGTTCTAAGGTCTCCATTTTTAAAGCACATACATGCAAACCGAATATAAAACACGTCACCAATAAGGAAATGACATAGAACAAGCTGAGGTTATCTAAGGTTATCATCTAAGGAAACCTCGAACTAAAGCGATAAGCATTTATAGAGAACAACAAATCTATACTAATATTATAAATGCGAAAGTAGCTGTGTCTGTCTGTCTCGGTTTCACGCGAAAATTAATGAACCGATTTAAATGAAAGTTAGTACACAGATAGTCTAAGGCCTGGGAAACGACACAGGCGACGTTTTAATGTGAAAAAAGGGTTGTAATGTAAAGGGTTAAAAGGGGGGGATAAAAAAGTGTAACGAATTATCGTCATTTTTTAGAGCTAAAAGCTTGAAAATTATTTTTTGGGCTTCTAGATTTGAAATTAATAAATATGACGCAAAGTTTACACATCAGAGTAACACATAGGCTGCAATTTACAAAAACATAGTGTCAATTATCCGAAATATAATGATAAGTGTCAACTAAGAAGGAAAAAATCTGCCATCACGGAGGCCCCACATTACGGATCCTCCCAATCCATTAACGGTGCTTTTAGGTATCTCAAGCACTGGTCACCGTCCTCGCCGAACCCGTCGCTTGCGACGAAGGGCTCGACGAGTAAATTAACTCATAGACACAACCCACTGAGTGTCTCGCCGGATCTTCTCAGTGGGTCGCGTTTCTGATCCGGTGGTAGATTCAGCGAAGCACTGCTCTTGCTAGGGTCAGTATTAGCAAAACTTCCGGTTTAATCGACTCTGGAATTTCGATTTAAAAAAACCGAAAGCTACTCTACTCTTTCCTCTGTTCTCTCCAGATATGCTGAAGCTGCGTGTGACCGGACCCGTGGCAAGCGTGAGAGAGTCGCTGATTGTCGACGAATACGGAACTGAACTGGCCAATTTACCTTTCAGGTAGGCCCATCAGGCAGGTCTTCCCTGGTAGGGAGCATCATCCCTTCTGGCCAAGAATCATGTCGAGGGGTGAAAGGCTACGCAATTTAAGCGCTATTTCGCTTAACACGCGACATTTGTCTATTTAATTAAAGGTCCGTTTTATTTGGCATCAGCATCAACAGTTCGACGTTTTTAATTAGAACTTCAATTAAGTTTACTCCATTCAAATAGCTGAAGAAGCTTTTTTTTGTATTGATATTTTTTTGAAATGTATGAACTTTAAATAGTTCTCCTATAAAGTTGCAAAAATAACACTTAAACCCATCCCCCCTCGATATGTTTCCTTCAATTTAATGACCTATCTATGATTGTATTGGGGCTGCATTCACCTTACTTTAGTATACGATCAGCACCAGATACGCTGATAAACAACCATCTAAACCTAAGAGAAAGAAATTAAAAAAAAAAAAAAAAAAAAAAAACTACCCTCAGTCGGAATCACTTTCAGGCATATGACCCGAAAACTAAGAATTCCTGTACTAAAGGCACAAAATACTGATATACGTACTTCTATGCGTTTGAATTTGCACATATATCAAGAGCCAATAAGCCTGTTCATCACATGAATGTTTGCCCGATGCGGAGATCGATTCTGGGCTCACAAGTCAGGGGCATTAACTATAACAGCGCACCACCGAAATGGTTAATCGTAGAGTTACACAAAAAAAATGGTTATTTCCATCTCTTCATCTCCCATTCCAGCTACCAGCCAATGGTCGGAGACGAACCCGTAGACCAGAGGGATCTATCGACGGAGCTGATGGCCGACGTTGTTATGCCAAGCATTAAGGGGAACAAGAATTACGTGAAAATAATCGGCAGGGATGTTGGTGGTAAGATTTTTTCTGCTATTTTAAATCATTCCACGCATAGCCCCCTAACAGGACATTCAGAACGCATCATTATACGTTAAAGTAACATTCGACGCATACATTGCATGCTGAACAAAATCTTGATCCGATTCCAGGCGAACCATTCGTCCGTCTGGCCGGTCCGTTGCGACGGCCGGAAGCCCGGACCGGACGATCGGCGGCCGTCGTCTTTCCCGATGCAGTCAACGACCTCGAGAGGGTCGAAAACGAAAATCTCCAACATCACGAGACTCTTCGCTCCATAAGCAACATTACTACGAGCAGAATTGTGTCACAGGTAATTTCTACATCTACTTTTTGGTAACCTAAGGGGCTATTCGATGTACTCTCGAACTGGTAGGTGAGAGTTCACGGGCTCAACTTGAGAGAGTTTGCTAACATTGACCCTAGCAAGAGCAGTATCGCTGAATCTACCACCGAATCGGAATCGCGACCCACTGAGAAGATTCGTTGAGAAACTCAATGGGCTGTGTCTATGGTTTAAGTCGTACGTCGAACTCGACTCATCATAGACAGACAATGAAAATACCGGTATTCCTTGACTTTTTGAATGTGATTGATACGGAATTAAACTTCTATTACCGATTATAAGTTTATATTATTGGACTGTTTGTGCGAATCGTAAAATACCTGTCAGCGACGCACTCCACCAAGCTACAGAACGTAATCGATTGAGACAACTAATTGACGGAATCAAACGAAGTCACAATATTCAGTAATGAGGGACCGGTTGAAGAGAGAGAGTGCGAACTAAGATATATATAGTATACTTAGTTTTTTTTTCATACATTGACTGACACCAATCAGAAAAGGTTCCGACAGTCCAAATCTCTAGCGCAAACAGACATCAATAGGTCGAGCGCTGTTACCTCATCCACTATACAACATCTAAATGTTTAATCAAGAATTCTAATGTTAGTACTCCCAATACACCGATCATTACGATGCGAATGTAAATATTACGCATAAAACTTTCGTATAACGTCAATATATTGGTGCAATATTACGAACATTATTACCGAACCACATTCAGAGCCGGTTTTTAAGGAGCCTTCATTTCAATGTCGAGAAAGGCTTAAAAAACATCGATTACTTAATTATTATTTTTAAATGAACACCATCTCGGTCCGCTTGGCTCATGGGCATCGCAACATTAATAACGCCCTCCGTCTTGACAAATCGACTAAGCAGCTGAAAATACACGTAACTTCATTTTTGAATCCCGACAAGAATATGTAATTCGGTGTTGGATAAGGTCCCCTTTTTAATGCATTAAAAACCTACACAGCAGCTACACATTTAAGTCGCTTTGCTAGGCGCGAGTCAGTACAGTGCGGCGGGTCCGACACTAGTCCTTGGCCGCGGAAACCATGAGGTTCAATTGGCGAGAGTGAGCCACGGGAAGGCACTTGGAAAAAGACCTTGAATTATGACGTTGAATATTCAACAAGCCTTCACATCCTTCGCAATTTCAGCCGCGCATATGTTAGAATTCAATGGGTTTAGATTAAAACGGCTTTATCAATCCAATCAATCTCTCTCGCAATTGACAAAGTCGCAGTGTCATTCACGTCGCAGTGTCTATTACAAAAGCTTGTCATGGAAATCTTGTGCTAATCGCATTAAATGCATTAATTTATATTGACGATTCCTTTCAGGTGATGAATCAGAGAGGTGCCCTCCTGACTGCGGTACAGATTGGACTGAGAACAACCCTTTATGGAGCACCGGGAGATAACCTACAGGTTAATTTACTTTATTTTAAAATCGTATCGAAACCGGATGGGCGTCGTCATCGTTAATGTACAAGTCGACCAACGATGGAAAAAAGAGCCGTAAACTCGAGGCACAAACACAACGGCCTTTACTTTTATTACATACTTGTCTTTTTTTATATAATTTCCATACTAATATGATAAATTTGAAAGTTTGTTTGTTTGTTCTTCTTTCACGTCGAAACGAAGCAACGTATTGTCATGATTTTTAGGCTACCCTTCATCCCGAAAAAACATATTCGCACGGAAAACTGTTTATAAATATTACTAGACATTTTCAAAAATTAATCAACCCCATTTCATTGACCACGCGAGCAAAGCCGCTTATAACAGCTAGTGGTACATAATTCCAAAGATGAAACCTGTAGTGGGACGGCATAAACAGCAAATTAAAAAATTATTATTAACGCTATTTAGAGTCCTTACCACAATTTTGACATTTAATTCGTTGCCTACACTCCGACATTCGAGCTACAAAAACCATGATGACGGGCAGATTGTTATCACTGTTCCTGTTGTATCCCGCCTTAATTGAGCTACTACTCCACGAAGTCAAACATAACGAGCATTTAGCGTTACCTATCAGAAAAGAAGAACTTTGACAAACTAACGCATATCATTATGAAGAATCTCAATATTTTTGCATACAAAATTTTTTTCAACTACTATTCCTTGATTTAAGAAATGATTACAACCAAATCTCCTATACGATATTATTCATTTGTATTTTCAGTTACATTTCGAAGTCACCAACTACAGAGAGCAATCTGTGAGGTTTACATTTGGAGCGGTCGGTGAACTTAGGCTTCTAACGGGAATCAGTCCGGCTGCGTAAGTACTATTTGTTAGGGGAGATGAGCATGACTCAGCTTAAGAACCTCCAATAGACGAAGAATGGCTTTTTAGACATCAGAAATTTATTTTACAAGAGACTCTGTTACAATGCAATAGTTATTTGCTTTTTATATTACAGATACCTTTAATATTATATGTAAATTCTTGTTAAAAACCAAAAGAATGGAATTGAATAACTAAATTATTTGCAGGCAACTCTTGACGTCCGGCCAGACGGCAAATGTGATCGTTAGCGCGACGATACCGACAAACGCTCAACCGGGAACCAGAGATCTTATCACCTTTACAGCATACGGTGAGAATATTGGCCAATCCAACTGTGATTCCGACTGGGATCAACGATTCGGTATTAAAGCATTAGCACAACGTCTCTTTAATTTTTGAAACATCATTTTTTTAATATGCTTAACAAAAAATATACACGTGTGGCACTCGGGAACTGCCGCGGTAAAGCTATTGGCATAGCATCTTTTATCAACTTATGCAATAATAATTATAATTAGACAATAATAATTTAATATTAAAACAATAATAAAATAAGATCACGCTATATTTATAAACATTAACAAAAACAAAACATTAACTGTCCCCTTCACATTCATAAGCTAGACCGCGCGAAAGAGCGAGATGGTCACACTTTTTCATGATGCGCATGCAGTGCGACGTCACGCCGCGCGCTTATTTACAAACACTACACAAGCGCAACGTGTGACTGTTGAACGCGAGCTACGTGGTAGGCGGAGGGGGGACTGTTAAGTTTTATTTTCGTTACGGAATTTCTTGATTCGGTCGCCGCGCTCAAAGCCCGCGATAAAAGCTTAATACGTTTCGTGAATAGTTACAAATATAAATCGTGAACATTAAAATATATTTTGCAGTTTATGTTTGTTTAAATACAAAGAACCTCGATTGTATCTTGTGGTTTGGGCGTTGCCGGAGGCGCGGATCTTCACTCTAGGACGATTCCTTGTGGTCAACAATCAATTAAATTTTAAGTCGACGATATGATATAGTGGTCAATTAATTGTATCGGCGTACAAGGGCTAGATTTTAGTGTTTTTGTTAAAGATTTCGCATTCAGCATCGCAGTACACTAATTTATCTTGTGTGTTATGTTCCTATTGTCCATAATAAAGCAGATAATCCTAGATTAGTATGGTTAAATTGGAACATATCTCTTGGAAGAGAAATCTCTCTTGGAGAAGTAGCTCCAAACGAATATAGCCGTCTCTTTCTGCTCTTAGGTACTGAACCAGTGTCGATATCGGCACACGTTTACGTCATCAACACCGGAGAAACGGTTAACGATGTTTTGGCACCGGAAGTCAGTCACGTGTTCCAAGGATCGTGCATAGGAAGGACTGGTCAGGACTGCGCCCAGTATGTTTGGAGCGCTACCATCATCGCCAGAGACTCTGAATCAGGTAGAAACTTTACAACATATCGAGAGCAAGGGTCCGCGTTATATCTTTGTACCCACCGTTGTGTATTTATGTATCAGTCTGTATAACATGCTCTAGGAATCCTTTATCGTACATTCCTATCGATGGCAAGTATGTCCGACATACATTTTTATATCATCGAGTGTTAAGGGGGTGCATAAATCCATAACAGCCCAACACGATTTCCGTTATCCTTGTGAGTCAAGGTAATTATCATATGACTACAGTCCTCTGTTCAAGCTGAATCACACATCGGTGCTCAGTAATCCAGATCTGATTCTTCTAATCCCCGAAAATAACCCGAAATTCTGACTAATACATATCTGCGGTGAAACATTGCAAACGAAAGTTTCATTCGAAATAGCCCGAAAAGATCTTGTTGGTCCGACACTCAAATACGTATTGCGAACTCCGCAGGGCTCCTTCGCCTCTCCTCGTCGCCTATCGGGTTGACGTACGAGAACTTCATCTCCGGGACGAGGGACCAAGTGACCGCGACGTACAGAGCCACGTGTTGCGCTCCCAGGATGCTGGTCAACGCCGTTGACGCCTCCGGGAATACGAATAGCTACGTCGTCGATATCTCGGGTGAGATTGCTTATTAGTTCCGAGAGCATCAGAATCTCTGATAGCAACACGCCACAGAATATAGAATCGCGAGAAGCAACTTAACTTATCAATAACTCAATTTTTCTGAAAGCTTGTGCAGTGATGTTGCTAGCTAAAATTGTCGTTCTAAGCGATAGAGCCGTCATTTGTGACTGTTATCCAAGAAGCGGTACATGTCCGATCTTAGGCCGTATCATACCGGTAAATTAATGTTAAATTTAATTTTATTTTTATTTTCAGGTTATTTAAGCGAAACAGCCATCGCAGCAATAGTCCTGGGAATAATTTTGGGCATACTTCTGATAGCATTAATCGCATACCTTATATATTTGTGTGTGAAAAGACGGAAGGAATCCAGGGAGCTGCCTTACAGCACGTCATCGAGAAATATTAGTTAAGAATTTTTTTAGAATAACGCCATCTAGCGCTCCCTGATCGAATCATTAAAGCGAAACATTTACAAGTGGCCTATTTGATAAGGTTCTTAATTGAAATCGAAATAATTTATTAAAATATAATTGTATGTAATTAAGAAATTTATATTCGTAGAAATAATTAATAATCGAAAAAGTCTTTTTAAATTATTTAGAAGGTATTTTAATGTAATTTCTAGGATAAGAAAATTCAGTTACCACTTTAATTTTTTAATTTTGATTTATTTTTTTCTAACATTGATGTGATTTGATAAGTGTAACATCTATCGGGTGCAAGGCACGATTTATTTAATTTTTAAATTTAAGATTTTTTATTTTTGTTTTTAACAGTAAATTTAAGATGTACTTTGAACAAATGCTTCGTTTATGGACGATTTAAATCTATGGATTATAAATATGCAATGACAATAATATTAGCGGTATACTGGCGCCGAATATTCTTCGTCGCTTTGAATCTACGTTTTAAACTAGACGTATGGTGGGTAGTAGTAAGGAGCGCCATCTTGTATCCCCTATACAACCTATACAAGTTGATAAAGTTTCAACCTGTAAACAGCGAGTTATTGTTCGAAGACTCATTGAAACAGCGCTAGTGGAGCAAGTGGAAGCGATATGAATATAGCAGTTTTAAACAGAGCGACGTGTGCTGGGTTGAAGTTAAGTATGGTAGTCTATGGCGCTGTTTTAAAAATCTCTCTCTCCACTTGCTACGGTGGCGCCACCTTAATTTGCTCTCTTTCAGCGGACACTTTTAATAATACACTGAAATGGTTCTCTTTGCTTCTACCCTTCATTAAAAAAAAATGGCCGAAATTGACAGAATTCATCCTCTTTTAAAATTATCGTCAGAGTTTGGGCACGAGAGTTCAAAATACACTGCCGTACCTAATAATGGCAAAACTCTTTTTTTGTTCGCTAAATTAAATACTTTTCTGATCAAATGCAAATATGACAACAATAAATAAAATTCTAATGCCTTGGTAATCGTAACACTCTTAGAGAATGACCAGACCGATTTATCTATATTGCTTTTACAATTCGTAATAATCCAAATGAATTTCGCGTGTAAAAAAAGGATTGGAAACGACATCGCTGGTTGTTCATTAATATGTCAACTGTCAAATTTGAACGATTGCTCGTTCATTGCTGTTCGATGACATTTTAGAGTTACGTAGCTGTCATAATATACCAATGTCCGCATTACATTATACTTGAAAATGAAACATTGGAAAGACTAAAATTATGTTTGTTAACTTTTGGCTGATCTCAGCCATTTTGGATTACGTACACAAATCGAGCATCGAATGCGCATCCATTGACTTGTATCGCCCGATGTTTTTTTTTGTTTTTCTTAAGCAAAGATGTTTAAGACATAAAACGGTAAACGTGATTCGTGACACTATTTCTACAGACATGTACTTGATGTAATCAAAAGAAAGAACAGGAAACCAATAAAAAAAATTTTTTTCTTCTTAATAATTGAGCTCAGTGATTCAGTCGACCCTATTCTCCGTGAAATAGTTAAAGATTTATCTCTTAAAACATTAAAATTTATTATTTTTTGATGACTGAATGAAAATTAATATTGAGAACTTTTTTTCCTTAACACACCCAATCACAATATACAATATTATGTTGTCTGTGCAATGTTTGCGCGCCAATTTTGAACAATGAGAATCGAACGAATTTCTTCCTATTAAGCTCTAGAACAGATTATTTTCTCTTAGTTGGCTTAAAGGTATCCTTATCAAGCCATAGAATCTTTAAAAAAAACTGTGCCGTGATAAAATTATTTTAAAAACACACTTAATTTCAATTAATTTAAGCTGTTGATTACTAATACGGGTAATATTTTAAAATGTATACTAAAATTTGCTTAATTGTGACGGAAAAGAAAAAAAAAGCAGGGTTTTTTTTTTTGGATCGCAAAACTTAACTGATATAAGATTGGTTTTAAAACTAAACAACTCACTTCCATGATAAATATGAATTAGAAAATTATAATCCTTACTTTTAGCCTAGTTATCCTAATCCCAATCCTAAACAGGTCCAAGCCATTTAAAAGCGTGTCAAAACTAAATAATTGTAATGATACCCGAACACCAACGGATCGGCAAATTATGATGAAAATAAAATCGCATTTAATTTGTAATTTTAATTCAATTTTCACATCTTATTTATTAGAAAGCTATTCAATGCGATTAAGCACATACATAAAGCTCACGGACACAAGATGTATTTTTTTGATCAATTTAATTTTTTTATTAAGATACTAATTTGTCAAAAGTTGCTTAACCATATTAGTACTGATGTTATGTTCTCGGATATGGAGTTGCTATTAAGTCCTAAGAAAAAAACCTTGTTTAAACTTTTTTTAGAAAACTGTTTCTCGTTACAAATAAAAATATTATTCGAAGTTAACATTTCATTCACTATGTATAGAAAGCTAATCGTATTTTTTATAGTAAACTAACCCTATTTTGCTAATCCTACCTTGAGTTCTAAGAGTCTGTCATTATTTAAGTTGGGATGACCCAATATATTGCATAGTTGTGTGCAGTAGTACTTAATGGTAGGCAGCGTCTTGGCTCTACCCTTGATATTACTGGAGGCCATGGGCGACGATAACCAATCACCATCAGATGAGTCATACCAGCACCTAGAGTCCATCAGTAAGTATCTACAGTCGGCATCAATGCGCTTCGATAAAGCGGCACGACACGAGAACCCTCTCATCGTGACCGGCGGTAACTACATAGCCTATCCTGCGGACCAAATTGTAAACAGTCGACGTCGCCCAAAACACGTCTTTTCGGATCCTCCCGATCCACTAAATGAAATATATACTCAACAAATGTTCACGATTGACTTCCACGGTGAAGGGATAACATCGTGTAATAAAAATCAAACCCGCAAAATTATATCTTGCGTAATTACTGGTGGCAGGACCTCTTGAGAGTCCGCGCGGGTAGGTACCACCACCCTGCTTATTTCTGCCGTAAAGCAGTAATGCGTTTCGGTTTGAAGGGTGGGGCAGCCGTTGTAACTATACCTGAGACCTTAGAACTTATGTCTCAAGGTGGGTGGCGCATTTACGTTGTAGATGTCTATGGGTTCCAGTAACCACTTAACACCAGATGGGCTGTGAGCTCGTCCACCCATCTAAGCAATAAAAGAAAAAGATCAATCTTAAAAGAAATCAGTTCAAATGTGTGCATAGAATTATTGAAATATTGTTAAAATTACCACTTAAATATCTCAAGTATATCAAAATATATCAAGCCAATCAAATTAACGTAAATAAACAAGGGGGTAAATAAGGTGGTAGGTAAATAAGGTCTCGTTACTGGTAGTAGGACGTTCTGTGAGTCCGCACGGGTAGCTACCACCGCCCTGCCTATTTCTGCTGTGAAGCAGTAATGCATTTCGGTTTGAAGGGCGGGGCAGCCGTTGTACTATTAAAAGTGAGACACAACTCATGTCTCAAGGTGGGTAACCACTTAACACTAGGTGGGCCGTGAGCTCGTCCACCATATTTTTTAAAAAAGATAATAAAAATACAATTTTTAAAAAACACTATATAAAAATAGATTGCCGCTGATGGCGGTGTCTACGACACAAGCCACCAGTGGTTAGGACTCCAGTGAGAAACCTCCTCACAATGCGTGCAGTATCAAGGATAACTGCTTTCTGTATTAGGCCCTTAACCCAGCTGGATAACGAAAGTTTCTTAAGATGTTGATCGAAACTTTTCGCTATCAAGCCGTGTACCGATACAACTATTGGAACAATGATGGTTGAATCAACATGCCACATGGCGGTAGTCTCGTGGGCCAGGTCTAAATATTTTATTAATTTGTCCTTTTCTGCCTTCACGAGGTTCTCGTCATGAGGAATGGTGACATCAACCAACACTGCTCGACGCGCAGATCGATCTATTATCACAATATCAGGTTTATTGGCAACAATATATCTATCCGTGATAATAGATCGGTCCCAGTAGAGCGTAACATGACCATTATCAAAAACTGGTTCAGGTTGGTATTGGTAATAAGGTACAGCAGAATCAAGAAAACCATATTTCAGAGCAAGTTGTTGATGGATAATCCTAGCCACTTGGTTATGTCTATGCAAGTACTCGCCGTTAGCAAACCGAGAACAGCCAGAAACAATATGTCTAATAGACTCTCCCGGACGGTGGCATGCCCGACGAATGTCGACCGTCCCATCCTTTAGTATATATTTCCCGTAGTTGTTCGTCATGAGAACTTCGTCCATAATTAGGATAGATATATAGATAGGATAAAACCTTCAGTTTCCCCAAAGAGGTTACTGAATCGTAACCAGGCCACGGAAGCTAATTGGTCTACATCTGGCCCTGTGAGAGCCCGGTAGAACCTACCGTGTAACTCCTTGCTCCTCCATACGGTTATGCGATCTGAAATACTCTCTACCTTCAGCCTCTTACAATTCCCGTTAGCTAAAGATAGCGGAGTTAGCCCCTTATCGACTGCAACGACATCCCGATACATATTCACGTTCATCTTAAGGAAATATTCCCTAAGGTTGTATATCTCTCGGTTATGTAGATCCTTGGCATTCAAAATACCACGACCCCCACAGTTCCGAGGAATATACAACCTCATTACAGACGAACGTGGATGATGCATTCTGTATGCCGTTAACAATCGCCTGACTTTTCTGTCCAGTACGTCCAGCTCTGATTGCGTCCACCTTAGTATGCCAAAGGAATATGTTAACATAGGCATGACCCAACCATTAAACGCTCGGATTTTGTTTCCGCCTGATAAATGGCTTTTTAAGACCTTTATAAGACGACCAAAAAACCGATCTCTAAACGATTGTTTCATATCTGCGTCAACAATA